GAGGTGAACTCTGCCATTCCGATGGCAGCAGCAGCAGCAGAGTTGCCGCTATCGAGAGTAGATTTTCGGCGCTGTCCAATCTTTGAGGACGGTGGTGGTGGTGGAGGATGCTCTGAAGCGGACCTCGAGTTTGCGGCAGCAGCAGTCCACCTTTCTCTTTCTCTTTCCCTTTTCTCTCCGGCGGCACTCCACTCTTGTCCGCACACGCACCGAAGTGGGCATCACGCAACGATTGTTGTCTGCCGACTGTTCTTGTTGGCTGTACGAGCAGCAGCAGCAACAGCAGCTCAGGCCAGTGTCGTTTCTCATTCTCACGCGAATTCCACCTCGGTTGCAACAACAGCAGCAGCATTCTGCCTTCGTGTAAATGGATATATATCTCGCGCCACCACCGCCGCCGCCGATGTTGCTGAAATCTTTCATTCTCGACGCCGAACACGCCATGGTAGTGGTGGTGGTGTTGGCAATTACGGGGCAATACAGTGGGCACTGTGGAGCTCTTGTTTTCCCTGGGATAATGAGTAATGCAAGTGGAAGTGCACTGCAGTGCCTCACTTCGGTGATCTGCGGCTACTAGGCGCCACTGGGGGGAGCAAAACCAGCAGGAACAAGAGGAAATGCTGTCAGTGTGTGGTGTTCACTCGGACACCGGTGACCATCGCACACACACTTACTACCAGTGATCTGAACTTGGCACCTTCATTGCTATTGCCGTCGTCGTCCTTACGTAATCGATGGCGCGCAAATGATTGCAAGGTGCACATGGTGCAGCAGTGGCAATGTGGTGGCCATCGGCATCACTGCACAGTCTCCGTTCACCTGTTTGCCGATTCAGAAACAGCACTGTTTCTTTTTTTAGTGTCAGTTCTGCTGGGTTGCCTTCTTCTGCTGTTTGGCGACGACCATCGACCACTGGCCACTGACAACAACAGTGCCTATCTCGATGAAGACGATATGCCGCTCTTGAAGAGAAGGGACTCGTCAGACGCTGAATAGCAACTCTTCGTGAGTCAAAGACAGCAGCAGGAAGGGCACAGTCTGTGTGTGGCAATGAAAAGAAAAGCAGTGCAAGTGCGAACTGCTGCTGCAGCTAAAAGTGAAAGTGGTCATCATCAGTAACAGCAGCAATAGACGCCCGGTGCTGGTGGAAAGAGAACCGATTGGAAAGTGCTGCTGCTGAGATGAGCAGCAGTGTGGTGGCTCGTTCGTGGCCGATCGATCGATTCGCTCGTGGCTACATTGCCGCCGCCACCATCACCACCACCAGGCTGTCCTCTACGGCACATGTTCGCCACTGGGCATGACTCGCCTTTGAACCGCAAGTACTCTTTTTTCCTGCAGTGGTAGTAATAATAACATCACCACCACCACCACCATCAGCTTCACCATCAGGCTCGTGCGGCAGCCGTTTTCAGTGTCGAGGGAAAAGGGGGAAANATGAAATGAGCAGCAGTGTGGTGCCTCGTTCGTGGCCGATCGATCGATTCGCTCGTGGCTACATTGCCACCACCACCACCACCAGGCTGTCCTCCACGGCACATGTTTGCCAGTGGGCATGACTCGCCTTTGAACCGCAAGTACTCTTTTTTCCTGCAGTGGTAGTAATAATAACATCACCACCATCACCATCAGCTTCACCATCAGCATCAGGCTCGTGCGGCAGCCGTTTTCAGTGTCGAGGGAAAAGGGGGAAAAGGCGAGAGAGAAGTGCACAAGTCCGATCGCGCCGACACCTGTTGATCGGCGCTTATCGCCATCGCACGGCTATTAGCGGACACACACTGGACACAGACACACACACACTCTTTTTCTGCACTGGCAGTGCATGATCATATCGCCAGTGCTTACTTTTACAGTGTTTGCTGCTCTTCAGCAAGCAAGGGAGCACATGGCGCGGCTAGTTGCGCACTAATCGGCCTTAATATTATCGAGACACAATCGAAAGTCCTGTGCTTGTGTCTGTGTGTAAGTCGCAAGTGGCAGCGGTGATGCCCAGAACACGATAAAAAGTTAGGAATACTGCGCTGCGCTGAAGATTGGGCATGCAAATTGGCATTTAAGGCAGCAGCAGCAGCGTAGTTGGCATTTTTTCCTGTGCATATGTGTCTACTTGACTGAGTGAGTGAGTGAGTATGTGCTAAGATGCTAGATAAAATGCTGAAGAAGAAAAAGAAAAATTTACTGACCCAAGATTTTAGATAGGTCCGCGCTGGATGGCCAAATTCGAAATGGAACAAATTTTTTGTTGTTGTTAATGCAGTCGTTGGTGTTGATAATGAGATGAGTGTGAGATGAGCAAAGTCGATGAGAATGAGAATGAGGATGAGGTAATGTTGATGTTGATGTTGATGAGGTGGTGGTGGTTGTGGTTGTTGATGATGACGATGATGAATGGCGGCAGTGGTGATGGCGGTGTCGGCGGCGATGAAGTGTTGGTGTGAAGAAGGGAAAAAGAGGGAAAAGTACGCGTTAATAAGATTTCGACACTGAGTAAAGACGCAAAAACGTAAACATGCACTCTCTAAATGACTGCTACTAAAGTGCGGTAAAGTGAAACGGTGCATAACTGCTAAATAGTCTTAAGCTGTAATGCTTTAAATGTTCAATTCGAACATCTCAATACTAAACTGTGACTGTTCATCAAAGATACAACAATAGCTGATCCTCTAAAGTTAGCCAAACAATCTGGCACCTCTGACTTTCTTCCTTGCATGCTGCAAGCCACAACAATTCCTTCTAACCTCATCCTTTCAACTCGACCTCTCCCACGACCCTGCCAACCTCTGCCACTAACGACTACGACTACTACTATCACCACTACTCACTTGTGCAGGTCAGGATTCTCGTCGGCCAGTCGCTTTCGCTCGTGTTTCGCCCAGACCATGAATGCATTCATCGGCCGACGGATGCGCTGAGCCGCCGTGGTGGCTGCCTGCGACTGTGGCTGCTGCTGCTGCGGCGGTGCTGATGGCTGATGATGGTGTTGCTGATGATGATGATGATGCTGCTGCTGCTGATGTTGAAGCTGATCAGAGTTGGTTGGGGAAGGGGAAAGGACAATGCCGCCAACTTCGGAGGGCTGCCCATTCTTGCTACTATTCTGCAGTGTGTGCATCGTCCGAGGCGAGTGGTGCGACGGCTGCTGCTGCGGCGGTGGCAAAGATTGATGCGGTGCACCAGGCGCCACCACTGTGTTCAGTGAGGCGAGCACAGGCGATGGACCATGGCCACCATGGTGTCCACCGGGACTGTGACCACTGGTGCCGCTGTGCGGTGAGGCCGCAGAGGGTGAACAGCACTGGTCTTGGATGGGGGCGTAGGCGGCTGCCTGTTGCATATCTCCTGCCGTTTGGTGGTGGGTCTGATGGTGGGGGTGATGGGGGTGATGGTGATGATAGGGTGACATACTGTAACTGGAACTGCTGTAGGGCGAGGCGGAGGTCCACGAGGCGGAGGCGCTGGTGGGCGTCAGCTGGTGGTCACCGCTGTACAGAGGCGAGTAGGCGGCACTAGTTTTGCTGGAGGACACTGCTGAGACCATGCTTGAGGAGGAGGAGGAGGAAGAGGAGGAGGAGACGTTGTTGATACTGTGCAGTTGTTGGGGAACGGTTGAGGATGAGGAGGAGCACTCAGAGGACACCTCGGTATAGGNTGTACAGAGGCGAGTAGGCGGCACTAGTTTTGCTGGAGGACACTGCTGAGACCATGCTTGAAGAGGAGGAAGAGGAAGAGGAGGAGGAGACGTTGTTGATACTGTGCAGTTGTTGGGGAACGGTTGAGGATGAGGAGGAGCACTCAGAGGACACCTCGGTATAGGCACTCGGAGAGGTCTGCTTCATCATGATCGACTGATCACAGTTGCTGCTGTTGGTGTTTCCGCCAGCACTACCCTGACTGTACGGGCTGGCAAGGGACATGTTGATGAAAGATGAGAAGAGGGGGTGCAAAAAAATAAAACAAAAACAGTAAAAAAAAGAAAAAAGGCACAAACACTAAAATAAAATTTAAAAAAACACAGGTGAAAAGTTTTGATTGAAGTTGGTGGGAAAGAGGGTGGGGGCGTAGTCAGAAAAGACGAGCAGGGCACTAACACACCTACTCCTGATTGAGTGAATAAATTTGGAATTTAATGTANCGTACAAGGGCGAGTAGGCGGCACTAGTTTTGCTGGAGGACACTGCTGAGACCATGCTTGAAGAGGAGGAAGAGGAAGAGGAGGAGGAAACGTTGTTGATACTGTGCAGTTGTTGGGGAACGGTTGAGGATGAGGAGGAGCACTCAGAGGACACCTCAGTATAGGCACTCGGAGAGGTCTGCTTCATCATGATCGACTGATCACAGTTGCTGCTGTTGGTGTTTCCGCCAGCACTACCCTGACTGTACGGGCTGGCAAGGGACATGTTGATGAAAGATGAGAAGAGGGGGTGCAAAAAAATAAAACAAAAACAGTAAAAAAANAAAGAAAAAAGGCACAAACACTAAAATAAAATTTAAAAAACACAAGTGAAAAGTTTTGATTGAAGTTGGTGGGAAAGAGGGTGGGGGCGTAGTCAGAAAAGACGAGCTGGACACTAACACACCTACTCCTGATTGAGTGAATAAATTTGGAATTTAATGTACGGTGGTCAGTTTCGGATCAGCTCCTCCGCAGCAATGTCCTGTGTGCGGCGTCGGCGGCGTGTACGTCTGTTGCTGCTGCAAGAGCAGCTGATGCTGATGATGATGCTGATGATGATGATGGTAGTGGTGGTNACGGTGGTCAGTTTCGGATCAGCTCCTCTGCAGCAATGTCCTGTGTGCGGCGTCGGCGGCGTGTACGTCTGTTGCTGCTGCAGGAGCAGCTGATGCTGATGATGATGCTGATGATGATGATGGTAGTGGTGGTGGTGGTGGTGCACGTACTTGTTGCTGAGCCGTTCTCAGCAACTCTGCCCAGTGGCTCAGCAATCGGTGGTGGACAACAGGCAGTCAGTCAGCTAGACAGTGTTTCTCACTCAGTTTCTGACTACTACTTCTACTGCTGTTGACTACAACAACTTCTTCTTCTTCTTCTACTACCACCGCCGACTACTACTGACTGACTGACAGAGATTCAACAGCAACAACTTCAACAACAAGAACGGCTGCAACAACGGCAGCGGCAGCGGCAGCAACAGCACCGCCACTCTTGGTCGTCGTGGGCATTGTCTTCGGTGGAGCGCCTTCACAGGTGGAGTTTACCTCTCTTTCTCTTTTTCTCTCCTTCTCTCCCCTTCACTACTGCTTCCACTGCTGTTGCTGCTGCTGCACCTTGGCGCGGGCGCCTGGCGTTGGCATCTGATTGGACAACTGCTAGTGCCACTGCTGATTGAACTGCTGCTGCTGTTCCACGGACGGTGAGCTTATTAGGTGGCGGTAGTGCTGCTGGAGGCGCTTACACGTGCTCTACGTGCCATCAGCATCATTGAGGAAAACGAAAAAGAAGAAGAGGGACCACCAGTCGTTGAGGATAGACGAGACTTGTCCTGGCACACAGCACCGCCGTACTTTACTGCTCTACTGCTGTTGCTGATGACGCCTCGTGAGGTTGGACGATCATTAGTGGTAGTGGGGGTGAGCGATTAGTGCAGTGCTGTACAGTTGCTGAGTGGTAACACTGGTGAACAGGTGAAGGTGAGGTACACTTAGGTAGATTGGCAGAACATATGATGAGGTGCTGTGACAGACTTGTAGGTGATAGAATTGTGTAGAGCTGCTGAAGCGGCGATTGTCACTGCACACTGACAACACACGCACTTTTCACAGTGGAGTGTTTTCGGAAGTAAAGTGATAGCTGCTGCTGCTGCTGCTCGATTTGCCAATCTCAGTCAGTGAGGCAGCCATTGTCGAGTGAAATAACTGTCTCGCAAATTGTGCTGGCAAATTGCACTTCAGTTGCCTTCTTCTCCTCCGGTTCCTCCTGTTCTTCTTCTACTCAGTTCAGTCGCTTCTTCAATCGATTCCGCGAGCTGCACCGTCTTTCTTCTCTCTCCTATTGCTGTCGTCTACTGCAGCACTCGTAGTCGTTGATATTTTAATATCGCCATCAGCGGCACAGATGCTGCAGCTGAGAGGGAGTGAAAGAGAGGGAGAATTTCATGCGGCAACGGCAAAGTCCAAGCTGAAAGCTAACTGAGGCAATGGCTGTGAGAGTGTGTGTGAATGTAAGTGTGTAGTGTGCCTGAGCACCACTCTCTACGTCATTCGATTGTAGTTTCTCTCGCTCTCACTCTATTTGGATTGGCTCGTATATATTTAGAGTCGATTCTCGAGCACAATGCCAAGACAGGCCGAGCTGCCGGTCGAGCTGCTGCGAAGAGGAGGAAAAAGTGCCGCGCCACCAGAACACAATCGAGGAGACATTGGCTGGAGTTGGCGCTGGAGCTGGAGCTGGTGCACGAGTTCTCCTTCAGTAGTGCTGGTGATGCTGGTGCTGTTGCCTACTGTTCTTCATCTGCACAGAGTATTCTACACCGCCAATGGCGCCAAATCAACTCGACACTGCTGTTGCTGCTGTTGCTTTTGTTGTTGCTTCTGCTGCCACAGAATTCGGCGGCGGACAGAATCAGCGGTGGAGCGGTCGGCAGAATGATGCTGGTGCTGGTAGCTGTGTGACTGTGTCTTGGCGCACACTGTTGCTGTCTTTTGCGGTGAACAGAAGCAGAAGAATAAGAAAAAGAAAAACGAACAAATGAAGTAGAAGATGCTGCTGCCGCCACTGATGTTGATGCGAGGACGAACACGAGGTGCACTTTTTCTTCGTTCGTTCGGCNGTTGTTGCTTCTGCTGCCACAGAATTCGGCGGCGGACAGAATCAGCGGTGGAGCGGTCGGCAGAATGATGCTGGTGCTGGTAGCTGTGTGACTGTGTCTTGGCGCACACTGTTGCTGTCTTTTGCGGTGAACAGAAGCAGAAGAATAAGAAAAAGAAAAACGAACAAATGAAGTAGAAGATGCTGCTGCCGCCACTGATGTTGATGCGAGGACGAACACGAGGTGCACTTTTTCTTCGTTCGTTCGGCGATTCTGTGTGTGTGTGTGCTGTGCACTAGTCTTCTCCTCACTTCAAGTGAGTTCCTCTCTTCTGCGGTGACTGTCGAAGACTGCAGTGAGTGAGTGAGTGAGTGCTCGGCAAAGTGCACTGCCGCTGCTGAGGTTGAGGTTGCTTTCCTGGCAGACAATACTACTCCAAGAAGAAGCAGCAGAAGAAGAAGACAAAGCCTGCGATCGGTGCGTGCCTCTGTCCTCTTCTGCGGTCGCTTGTAGTAGTGGTGGTGGCGCTGGCGGTGGTGGCTGTGGAAGAGGCCGTGCAAGAGCAGTGATGGACAAGTCGAGCTCGACTGACTGACTAACTGAGTGACAGGAAGCCAGTTCTATCGTCTAATCTGCCAGCAGCAGCAATAGCAGCAGCCTGCTCGGGCTAGCATCTGTAGCTGAGGCACCGAAAGGAACACTAAGAAGAAGAAGTGGAAGAAGACAGCTTTGCCGTAGTGCGAGCAACAGCAGCGCAGAAGAAGACAAAGCTTTCTCGGAGCTCTCTTTCTCTTTTCACCGAAAGAGGCTTTACCTGTGCGAGTGAGGCATCAGCGGCAGCAGCTCACCTGGAAGCTTTGTCTTGGTAATATAATTTATTGTGGTAGAGCCAGGAGAGAGAGAGAGAGAGGCTGAACGAATCTCACCGAAAAGCGAGCAGTATGAAGGAGGGCGAGACCGGGCATCTCAGAGATCGTTGCTGCTGCGAATGCATCAGATTCACTGCCGCCAGTTTTTAAAGCTGCTGAGTGACTTCTCATCTCNGAGAGAGAGAGAGAGGCTGAACGAATCTCACCGAAAAGCGAGCGGTATGAAGGAGGGCGAGACCGGGCATCTCAGAGATCGTTGCTGCTGCGGATGCTTCAGATTCACTGCCGCCAGTTTTTAAAGCTGCTGAGTGACTTCTCATCTCTACAGCAAATCGCTCATCTTTGCATACTTTTAACGATAGAAAGAAAGAGATGATGCGGACAACAGCGACAGCAGCAGCATCGACCACTAGAGCACTGACCATCAGAACTACCACCAATGGGAACAGTGTGTGAAAAATGTCAACAATATCGATCAAGTGTAACAAACGATCATAAGTTCAGCTGATCCAGACAGAAAGTAGGGGCGTTTTCCAGCACCTCCACTTAGGGGTCCACTTTTCATTGCTTAGCAAACACAGGC